TTGGTGAAACATTCATTTTCACCAGTACATATCCTCAACTGTTCTGATTTGGCAGGGACTGGGTTGACTCATCCTCTATTGTCCCATTTCCCCCACTTCTTTTAAAATGTTTCTCTCTCTTCCTCCCACTTTCCCCTTTTGTCCTTGGCTTACTTCAATTGCTTCAAACTAGTAGTTTGCTCTCAGTTAATTCAGTAGGGAGGAGAGAATGAGAGGAGGCAGAATCTTGTCCTTCTCTATAGGCTCAGGCAAAACTAAAATGCTGCAGCCTCTCCTAACTTGTGTGTTATTCTTCATTAATATTTTTTACCATCTTGATTACACTCTGAAGTTATGTGGACACATAGTTCCTGATTTTCATCTGTGTTCCTGTTTGCATCTGGTCTCAATGCCAAATGCTGATCCTAAATTTTAAAGCAGAGGGTGGGCAATTGTGGTTGGATCTGGGACCATTATTTGCCCCTGAGATCCTACATGGGCTTCTAAAAACATCTTGCCCCAAAACCCCACAAATGGCCACTCTTTTCTTTGAAAGGGGAGTTGTTATAACAATGCAGGAGATGATCTGCAACTTATTTAAGAGGTGATTGTCACTCCTAGAAGCTACCAAGAGAGGCACTCTCTCATATAGCCTTTGCAGACTGCCAGAAATAGTGCACTTTAAATTGAGGCACTACCCTGGCTCAGTGCTAGGGAATCATGGGAGCTGTAATTTATTGTGGCACCAGAGCTCTCTGACAGAGAAGGCTCAATGTCTCAGAAAAAAACCAATTCCCATGATTCCCTAGCACTGAGCCAGGGCAGTGCCTCAATTTAAAGTGCACTATTTCTGGCAGTCTGCAAAGGCCCATAGTTTTTTAGTTTTGTTTCTGGCCAGGAAAAGGGTGGCCAAGAGTTGAGGGCCACAAGGACACCACGCAAGGGGATGCATGTGGCCCCAGGGCTGTGTGTAGCCTGCCCCTCTTCTAAACCCTTTAAATGGCTTAGGACCAGAGGTCCTTTCCTACAAGTATTCCCACAAATATAGCAGTAGGATTCCACTTTTACTGCCATAGACCCATCCTATAGAATTCTGGGATTTGCAATTCATGGGAGAGTATTTAGAATTCTCAGCCCAAAAGCTCTCATGCATCATCAAACTACAAGTCCCAGGATTCCATGGAATGGAAGCATAGCAGGTAAGGCTGAATCATAATGATTTAGCTGGGTAATGTGAAATGGCCTCTGATTATCTTCAGCACCTCACTTCTTCTTTTATCACTTTCTGCTTTGTTTGTTGTCTATGAAATTTTTAAAATTAAAAATGAAATAGACAGAAAGAGAGAGTGCATAGTCATCTGTCACAGCAATGGTTTTCAACCTTTCATCTTCTAAATATCTTGGACTACTACTCCCAGAATTCCTAAGTACTGGCCATAATCATTGGGACTTCTGGAAGATGAATTCCAAAACACCAAAATCAAGTAGAAGTTTGATTCCAGGAACCCCTGTGGATATCAAAATCCATGGATGCTTAAGCCATATTATATACAATAGCAGAGTAAAATTGTGTCACTTATATAAAATAGCAAAGGCAAGATTTGCTTTTTGGGAATTATAGAATCATAAATAAATTATAACAATAAGACTAGCAGAGAACCTCACAGACCTGGAACAACTACTAAGGAAGATCAAAGAAAAAAGTGGAAAGGCAGGCTTACTGTTGAACATAAAGAGAACAAAAATAATGACCACAGAGAACTTAAACACACATTCAAACTAGACAATGGGGAAATAGAAATAATAAAAGAGTTCTCATATCTAGGATCAAAGGAGATTATCACACAGGAGGCAAAAGTGTCTTTAAAGTGCCTTTAAATTGTCAATAACATGTAATTGGGGTTCACGCACTCACACATTTGTCCCATCTGTAAAGTAACTATAAAGTGTCATGGACATGTCCCTGGCTCCCCCTTGCCCATCCCACCAGTAACACGTCCTTTGAGCCATCATTTTTCAATAACGTGATCTTCCATTCTTGAAAAATGATGACTCCAAGGATGCATTACTGATGGGATAGGCGAATGAGGAGCCAAGGATATGTCCATGACACTTTACAGACACTTTACAGATGGAAAATTTGTGACCGTGTGAACCCCAATCTCACGTTATTGACAATTTAAAGGAATTTTAAAGACACTTTAGCCTCCCATGTGATAATTTCCAAACATTGATCAGAATGGGGACAACAGCCAGGAAATCAGAAGATTTCCTCATTCCTCATTCCTCATTCTTAATGTCCCTCCAAATCCCCTTTGGCCTCAAATCCACCAGCAAAGGGACATGCATGATATCTTCAAAGCTCAAGAAGTCATCAAACAAAGAGCTGGGTATCACAGTTATGGCTACAGTTGCCCCATGAAAACCAGTGTTGCAAAGTCTTCTGTGCTTTTTTTTTTTTTGAAAAAGGCATAATATTTCCCACTGTTTTTGTGTGAATTCTTCTTTGGTCAGCCCCATACAGATGTGAAACATTGCATTCATTCTCTTAGTCACTATTCCATGTCCATGAAGGAAAGCAAACATGTTAGAAATTAATCCTACTTGCTGCTTTTCCATTGGCATGCAGTAATGTGTGAACAGCGTATCTGGCTCTGAGCAACTTGACATCCATTGTTCCATCAGGTTGAATTGAGTCACTTCAGTATTTGGTTACATTTTACCCCAGCATTTATTTGCAAGGCATTGTCCATTATGCTGAAGTCTCACCTTTCAGCTGATACAGACAGACTTCCTGCTGGAGAAACCTTATTATTTAACCGGATCTATTGCTCCTGCCCAGGTTTGTTTTATTTTTCTTCTTGGCAACTGCCACCAGCAATTCTAGGTGATGTTTCTTTCTTTCTCTCTCATTCAACTAATTCCTTCCGAACACTTTGGCAAATTAGTCTTTCTGTAGCGCCCTGAGAAAACAAGGGATCTCCTGAAAGGATTTAAAACACAAAAGCACCTCAGATTATTTTTCTCCTCTCAGACAATCCCTGTTTTTGCTTCAGCTTTATCTTGTCCAAGGCTCAGGAAGCAAGCATGATTTTACATTCTTCCCTGATTAGGACTTACAAGCAGCTCAGAAGAAAAACAGGAAAAGAAGAGGTGACATTGTTATCAGCATCATCATCATCATCATCATCATCATCAATAATCATCATGTTAATGATAAGAAAGATGTATGTCAAAGAAGGAACACATTAGGTTTCCCCAGAATTAAGGGGGTGGGGGAAATGGTAGAACAAACATTGAAATCTTTTACACATAATTATGCTGTGCCTTCAAGTCATTTCTGACTTATAGCAACCCTAAAGTGAACCTATCATGGGCTTTTCTGGGGCTGAGAGTGTGTGACTTGCCCAAAGTCACTCAGTGGGTTTCCACATCTGAATGGGGAACTGAACCCTGATCTCCAAAACCATAGTCCAACACTCAAACCATGACACCATGCTGGCTTTCCTTTTACATATATATCTGCATTAAAGGTTCCTGTTACCAGTTACAAAAGTGACTAATGATTTGCTGAATATTTACTTTATACTGGAGTTAACTTCTTGATTGTACTTACCAACAGTTTGATAAACATACAAAGTCATTTACTAAACATCAGATTATCACAGGAGACTGTCCAAATACCCTAAAGGCACCAGATCCTGTCTGACCTTGGAAGCTAAACAGGGTTGGATTTGGCTAGTACTTGGATGGAAGACCACCAACGAATACCAAGTGATGTAGGCTATATTTCAGGCAATAATAAAATTGCCTCTGAGTATTCCTTGGCTAAGAAAACCCTACAAAATGCATGTGGTTGCCATGTCAAATGGCAGCTTTAAAGCGTGTGCGCACGCACAGACAAGTTGTCATGATGGGCATGGAAAGCAGACTATTTGTATTGCTCATTTAGAGATAAGCAAAATTCATATTGGATCAGCAATCAATATCTGGTCTATACAGTAAAGGACATTTGGACTTGTCACGAGTCTGTTCTATGGAATCCTGGGATTTATTGTCTAGTAAGGCAACAGTATGAGTGTTAAGGCCTAAGCAGACTGCCAGAAATAGTGCACATTAAATTGAGCCACTGCCCTGGCTCATTGCTAGGGAATCATGGGAATTGTATTTTTTTTCTGAAAGATTGAGCCTTCTCTGTCAGAGAGCTCTGGTGCCACAATAAATTACAATTCCCATGATTCCCTAGCACTGAGCCAGGGCAGTGCCTCAATTTAATGTGCACTATTTCTGGCAGTCTGCTTAGGCCCTTAGATTGGGACTCTGGATGATTAAGGTTCAAATCCCTACTCAGCCATGGAAATTCATTGGGTGACCTTGGACAAGTCACATTCTCCCAGCCTTAGAGGAAGGAAAGGGCAAGCCTCGTCTGAATAAATCTTGCACACACAAAAAAAAATCCAATAAGAGCATCACTATAATTTGGAGTCAACATGTGTACTGAGAACAACAACAACAACAGTATTTAGGATTCTCTTGTACCGCATTTCCATAAGCTCTGTAACTATTTCACCAAACTGCAACTCAAGGAGAGAGCCATAAGAGTTAAAATGTCATTGAATGTTTAGAACAGTGTAGAAAACAAAAAGTGGTAAATTCCTCTGAACGAATGGAAAGAGTATTTTTAGGATTACTCTGTACATGCAAAGAAATGAGGTGATTTGGGTGGAATAGACCATACTTCAGCCTGTGGTTGGGGAATCACATCTGTTTAACCTTTTCTTGCATTAGAAAAAATGCCCACCTACAGACAACCCCAGGCTGTCTCATTAGAGATGGACCACACCTCAGTGGCAGGACAACAGGTGGGCAGTGCAACAATATGGAATTGGAGTTAGGCCTTTGTGTGACCACATGTAAGAGCTTAGAAAAGTTGCTTTGGGAAGCTACTGCTCCCAGAATGCTTTATGAGCAGTAGCCATGCTGACTGTAGCATTTTGGGGGATTCTAGGTGAGTTGTCAGAGCCAGTGTGGTTAATGGTTTGAGCGTTGGACTATGACTCTGGACACCAGGGTTCAAATCTCTGCTCAGCCACTGGGCGGCCTTGGGTAAGTCATAGGACGTTATCACACGTGGGCCAGAAAGCGATAATAAAG